TGCCCCAGAGGTGACCACATGGCGTGGCAGACCTCTCCTGACCCGCCCGCTGCTCCCCTCAGCAGTGTACTTCTAGATCTGCCTGTTCTGCTCCCTGCTCTGTCTCTGTGAAGCCTCTCACCGCCCCTAAGTCTCTGGCCTGTACCCCAGTTCTATATGTACAAATAAATCTTTAAAAAAAAAAAAAAAGATACTGACTGGAGATATATTTGTCAGTTCCTAGAGGCTTTTTCAGTGCAGACACATGCTGAATTTTGTCAAATATCCTTTTTGTCAATGGACAGAAAATCCAGCCAATATAAGGATAGGCTTTAAGATGTTATTACAATGTATTGTATTGAGCCATCCTGGCTTTCCTGGGGTGAATACCATTTGGTATTTTTAAGTGAAACATTTTAAAATTTTCTGGAAATTCCAGATAATGTAGGAGTTGGAACTCCCAGTAAGTGTCCATGGTTTTATCAGGATGGTCTCCCTGAGGTGGGCAGAGTAGTTGTTTGGAGGAAAGCAAGTGAAGACCGTTATAATCATCTTAAAAGAAATACTTCAATTTAAATATTCTTCAATAAGGAATGATTAAGTAATCTTGGCACATCTATACAACAGACTGCTATATAGTGGTTCGAAAGGTCAGCAACTTCCTTATATGTGAAACTATGGAATTATTTCCACTAAGGGAATAAATCAAGAATAAAGAAGTGTCTTCATTCACCATTTCTATTTTAAAAAGTGGGAGGGGGAACCCCAAAACAAGCCATCCATTGACTTGTACAATTAAGCGCCTAAAATAGCTCTAAGAGACACAGATAAGTTGGCTGCCTCCAGAGAGAGTGACACTGAAAACAGTGAGGAACTCTTCACTGTTAGGGTTGCTTGGCCTAGGAATTGGCAAGGTGTCACACCTATCTAAAACACAAGCAGGTGTACAAATACTTTTTCATGAAAAAAAAAAAAAAAAAGACTCAGGCCCTCCCTGGTGATGCAGCACGTTAAAGCGCAGCACTAAGAAGCTAAAGCCACTTCAGCATAAGTTTAACCCCCACCCTGGAGGTGACCCACATGGCACAGAAGACCTCTCCTGGCCTGCCCACTGCTCCCTTCAGCAGTGTACTTCATCAAGTCAGCCTCTTGTGCTCCCCACTCTGTCTCTGGTGAATCCTCCCACTGCCCCCCACACCTCTGGCCTGTACCCCAATTATGTATGCAGAAATAAATCTTTAAAAAAAAAACTCAGGCCCAATTATTCTTCATTTTCATCATTCTTATTTTAAAGATTTATTTATGAATACAGAACTGGGGTACAGGCCAGAGGTGTGGGGGGATGGTGAGAGGATTCACCAGAGGCAGAGTGGGGAGCAGAACAGGAGGATGTACTGAAATACACTGCTGAAGGGTCGGGAGAGGTCTGCCACGCCATGTGGGTTACCTTCCTGGCAGGGGATTGAACTTGTGCTGAAGTGGCTTTAACTTTGTACTGCTGTGCTTTAACCCACTGCACCACCAGGGAGGGCCTCATCGTTCTTATAAACAATCCAGGAATTCTGATCTCTGACCAGGGGTGGGGGTTGCTGGGGACATAGTGGGAAGAATAGGCTACTACACTCAGCTGCTTCCTCACTGTCCCCATTGTGGGTGCCTAGGTCGGCCGGGCCCCCAACATTGTCATGGTGTTTGACTGTTCCATGGAGACGATGGTCCAGAGAGTGCTGCACCGGGGTCAGGTAGAGCACCGGGCAGACGACTGTGAGCCAGCCATCCACCGGCGCCTGGAGACACACTACACCCTGTTCGAGCCTGTACTGACCTTCTACCAGCAGAAGAACCTGCTCTGGAATGTAGGTGCTCCCGGCACGCCAGTTGGCCCCCTTGGCTCCCTGGGGGCCTAGATCCAGCTTCAACAGTACATTGTTGTCCCACTCTTCAGGCCCGGTGATCCCACTCTTTCATTAGGTAGCAAGGGTGCAACCTTTGGGCACCTAGCAATGACATTTAAGGTCTACACAGAATGGTCTCCAAACTGCAAGATGAACCTTAATGTTACCTACAAAACGTAAGATTGACAACTGCTCATCATAAATCCAGGTGTATGTCTCTCAAGGTGAAGTAGGGTTATCTTAAATCTTGAAAGCCGTATCCATTCCCTCTACCTTTTACCTGTTACCACCCTGCAGGCAGAATGAGAGGGACGGTAAAGCCCCTGTGGAGATGGGGACGAGTGGGCTCTCTACCCTTGCACACACGAGCTCCTATGGCTGTTCCCAGGGTGGCTCTGTGCAGCTTGTGGGGTCGGCTGGTGACTGTCCTAAGCTCTTCTCCCTCCCACACGGAATGGACCAGGGGTTGCTTGATTCTTTACCTGCAGTCATTAGAGATGCCTCTGGTCTGTTTTCCCTTTGTTGGAGGGGTAGCGAGCAATGTCCTTACGCTAGTACTCAGAGCTGACTTGCTTCATCTTTCAGATCTTGGCAGAAGAAGCTCCACAAAACATTTTTGCCAAGTGCTGCTCTGTCATTGAAAGTCTGCAGTGAGACGAGCAGGCTGGGGGGCTCTGCCTGTGTCTTCATCCCAGTACCCACACAGGGTTCACAATGGGCACAGAGCATGTGAGGTAAGACGTGAGGGGGACCTAGGCTCCATGTTAACTCCACACATGAACTTGAGGTGACAGCATCCTTTCCTGGGCCCAATGATGAGCAGGTTCCTAAAAACTATGGACCAGGTGACCAAGACTATGAAGTGACCTACCTAGAAGCAGCAGCCGTCACTGACTCCTGATCCTGATGGTGAACCCTGATTTTCAAGTGTCATATTCCACCCGAATCCAAGAGGACTCCAGCCACAGAATGTCACAAAATGGCTTCTCACTGGGCCAGATGGCTCACGTGGGCCTCCACTCACTCCCGTCTTGTCCTCACACTTCGGGGGCCACACTGCTGCTGAGCACTGGAAACGACCCCACTTCTTGAAGGCCGGGCAACTCCCAGGGCAGTTATGTTTGCTGCTGTGTAGGCTGCCTCCATGGGAACACCTGTTCTTAGGGAGTCTCCTGGGGGCCTTGCTCCCCAAGTTCCCAGAGGGAAAAGGTTGGGGGCAGATTGCAGTACTAGGCCCAGCTGCCATTCCCCTCAAGGTGAGGAGGGAAAATCTTGGGGGCCCACAGCCCACTCTCCTTGACCAAGCCTTATTATTCCTCAACTTGTTTCTTCCACAAACACAACTGCGGACAGGACGCAGTTTTTTGACAAAAAGCACTTTATTTAACCAAAAATGGGGGGAGGGGAGTTAGGAAAGCACAAAGCGCCTGCAGAAAACTATTTTCTCTTATAATTTTCTTAAAAAAAAAAAAAAAAGAAAAAAGAAAACAAAAACAAAACAACACAAGCTTGTAATTTCCAATCACCATTATCAGGCTTTACAACATCTATAAAGAACAAATGTGTTCAAAACTACGGGGGAGGAGGGTGGGGCAGGGGGAGAGAAAGAGACGGCACCCAGTAGACGAGGGCAGATTTTGTTATCATTTATTGTGAAGTTAAAAACGAGCGATAAAAAGTAAAAACTGCCATACAATTTTTTTTTGTTTTGTTCTGTTTTCAGTTTCAATGTCCTCTCAAACAGATGAACCACAACAGACCAGTCCTGGGAGTGGGGGACAGGAGGGGCCGCGGGGGAGCCGAGCTGGGGGTGGAAGGAGGAGCAAGAAGGGAAGCAGAGAGGCCAAAGGGTGTGGCTGGAGGAGGGGAGCGGGGAGGTTGGTTCCTGCAATATTAACACCTGGTCCAAGGAATGTTCCACCTCTAACTAAAAGAAAAGAAATAGCAAGAGTGACTTTTTTTCCTTTGTAAAAGTTTATTTTAAAAACATGAAGAGGGCTAAGGGTAGCGGGGAGAAAATCGCTTTCCCCTGAAAGAGGCAGTTTCATGAAGGCTTGGGCTGGGGGAATAGAGATTTATATATATATATATATA